CAAATTATACTAATATCAGGTATGGTAAATTTGTCCAATTGTCCATTATGTTTCATAATTCAAAATGTAAACAGTATTCACTTTTTATAGGATAAATCAACTGTAAAATCAGATGTCCGGAGTCTTCATGTTCGAACTCAATTCACATGTGAAACTAATTTCAAAAGTCACTAATTTCAATTAAAGTCAGCTTGACCTTTTTTATGGTGAAGTGATAATTAGGACAATGTTTTGTTGTTGTTGTTGTTGTTTTAAGAACAACTTTCAGATCAACATTTAGACCTCAGTTCAAGTTGATATCAGCACAAGTTCGCGCCAGTCCCAAGCCTGGAAGATCGAATATATGAATATATATATATTCAATTTGTCAGAAAGATTTATTCTAATTTTTTAAAAACAATACTTATTCTCACTATGGCTGCATTTATTTAATCTAAATAAAGTAATTATCATTTATATTAATCATATACATAATAAATAAGCATATATGTCATATACATTTTGACATTTTAAAAAGTTTTTAAAAATGCATGAATGGGTGTCCCTTATTTTGGCTTGCTGAAGGTGGCAACACTAGCTGCATGTCACTGTAGTGCCATGAACTTTCCATGAATGTAAAATTTGTGACATAACAAAGTCAGTTATTTAACATTTAACTGCATTAACACAAGAATCTGTGTAATCAAGGTTTTTGTATTGAGATGATGTTTGTAGAGCTTATTCCAGACAGTCAGTTCTCCTGGGGAATCTCACAACCGTAAATCAACAGCTGGCATCTGTCAGGGGCATTAGAGCATTACTCTTGGACTCATACTGAGAAGAACACAACAGGTAAACATCCTACACATTCTATATGGAGAAAAATACATCATAAAAGGGTTATTAAATTATTTTAGTAAAATCATTTTAAAACACTCAGAAAATTAGACCAACAGAGACACCTGCTGGAGACAGAATTAACTGCACTGTCTGTCGTAAACGGTTTGGATCACAGAACTTCATTCATCAAACTCTTGTAGGACAATTCCTTATGGATGAACTGTTTACAAGGAAATTCAGTCTACTTGTTTCATAAATAAGGTCCAAAACACAAGTTCGCCTATAAACACAATGTTTAAACTGCTTCATCAAATTATACTAATATCAGGTATGGTAAATTTGTCCAATTGTCCATTATGTTTCATAATTCAAAATGTAAACAGTATTCACTTTTTATAGGATAAATCAACTGTAAAATCAGATGTCCGGAGTCTTCATGTTCGAACTCAATTCACATGTGAAACTAATTTCAAAAGTCACTAATTTCAATTAAAGTCAGCTTGACCTTTTTTATGGTGAAGTGATAATTAGGACAATGTTTTGTTGTTGTTGTTGTTGTTTTAAGAACAACTTTCAGATCAACATTTAGACCTCAGTTCAAGTTGATATCAGCACAAGTTCGCGCCAGTCCCAAGCCTGGAAGATCGAATATATGAATATATATATATTCAATTTGTCAGAAAGATTTATTCTAATTTTTTAAAAACAATACTTATTCTCACTATGGCTGCATTTATTTAATCTAAATAAAGTAAAACGTTGATGTTGTAAAATATAGTGACAAGTTAAAATGACTTTTCTATTTCATTGTATTTTAAAATCTAATTTATTCCTGTGATGCCAAAGCTGAATTTTCAGCAGCCATTACTTGAGTCTTCAGTGTCACATGATCCTTCAGAAAAAAGAAAAAAAACATTTATTTTCATCAGTGTTGAAAACAGTTTATTATTATTATTATTATTATTTTATAAGGATAACACACATTAATCAACATTTCTGTAAATGTGCCAGTGTTAGCCAGTCGGCTAATTTTCAACTGCAGTCTTTTGGCAAGATGTTTCAAAACCATTTAAAATATCAAGAACAATAAACAAAAAGCATCGTGACAACAGTACTAACACTATAACAACAATCAACATTTTCACACAATCAGCCTTGCAAACACACAAAGCGACAACACACAACCTTCAATAGGTATATGCAATCGTGCTGGAAAACATTAACCATACATGAAGTACAAAATACTTCATTATGGATTAATAAGATAACACATACCTAGATTGTAAGTTAACAAAACAAAAAAAAAAGACCAAACAATTAGTAAAATATTAATAAAATAATCAAACACATACCCAAAACATACATTTAGTTGATCTGCTTAACTCTTCCCCCTGCCAGCCACCGCCAGCGATTTTGATGATTTTCGCTAAAATTTGATGGCCTCCAGTATATTTTTCTGTATGAATATTTGAATATGCAATACACCAAAATAAAGATCGGAGCCTCAAAGATCAGTTTTATTCTAGCTTAAAGCATTCTTTTTTTTATTAACACTTGAATATAGGTAGGTTTCATAAAAAATGCATAATTTTGAGCAAAAAGGTGAGAAAATCAAATTTTTATCAAAAACTACATCTGGATAATATTCAGTACGATTATCAAAGCATAAATCCAGTAAATCGCTTCCATCAATACCTCCAAAGCTTGCACAGACATATACCACTTCCTGGATCAACATTTTACTCTGTAACATTATGCAGTTTTCATTTATATGCTGTCTATTGCTGATGATCGCATTATTTTTCATATGCATCTGTTTACATAAGAGATCTTTAGTTCCCTATCGATACGGGAACGAGTACTGCGTCTTGCTAGACACTATGGGAAAAAGTCATTTTTCTCCTGAACTGAAGGCTTTTTCAATCCCGCAGTGAAACTGCACGGCCATTGGTTCGTGCAGTATGTTTTAAAAACGAACCAATGGCTCGGCAGCAGTGCTGCACAAGCCTATGGTAGCGAAGCCCACCAAAGCCCACCAGAATGGGCGGAGTCTTCTGGCTATATAAGCGGCCGCTTCGTCATAGGATTCAGATTTCTTCTCCTTCAGCGACGACGAGGTTCTTCGCATCTCCGCTGACTGCAGAGCCTGCTCGCCGTTGACACGCCTCGCAGTGGAACGATTCTGCTCGGCTGATTCACCGCCTTACGCTGCCTTCAGCGACGCGCAGCAGCAATCCGGGTCAAATGCTGCGCCGTTACTGCGGTATGTGCAGGGCTCCCTTGCACGCCGATGACAGCCATCGTGAGTGCGTTTCCTGCCTGGGGAAATCCCACGTGGAATCCGTGCTCACCAAGACGAATTGCTCCCACTGTGAGAGCATGAGTCTCGCCTCTCTGCGCTCACGGATAGCTTTCTTTTCTGAAAGCGACTCCGCCCCTCGCCCCCTCCCATTTTCTTTCTTCCAGGAACCTGTGAGGAAAAAACAGCGGGGCAGAGGATCTCAGTGCTCGGATGCAAGCGAGCTTACGTTGGCTCAGGTCCCGCGTACCTCGCTCTCTCCACACAGAGAGGCTTCCCCCGTTCTCTTCACCCAGTCTGACCAGTGTCCCTCTGCCAGCGCGAGTGATCTGGTCTCGTTCGGTGGGAGTGACGAGGAGCTGCTGGATGACAGCCTGTCATTAGCAGCCTCGGACACGGAGGAGCTGTCGGGCTCGATCGTTGACCCCGCCCTTCTGCCGCCGTCCGAGCCCAGCGATGTTAAACCCGGGACGGACGCCAAATTGTTCTCTCGAAAGCCGTTGAGGAGCTGGATTTGGAGTGGTCTCCACCGGAAGAGCCCTCCCGCAGCCGTCTGGACGAGTGATTCCTGCCGGGGCGCCGTCAAGACCCTCGTCAGCGATCCTCTCCTTTTTTTTCGGAGGTCCACGACGAGCTCACCAGATCATGGCGCGCCCCATACTCTGCCCGCCTCCGTTCTTCTGCTTCATCCGCCCTCACCTCGGTAGACGGCGCTGAAGACAAGGAGTATGAGAAGTTGCCTCCGCTCGACGAGGCAGTGGCCGCGCATCTCTGCCCGCCCACTGCGATCGGCTGGAAGGCTAAGGCTGCCCATCCATCCAAGCCATGTAGGACGACGTCAGCCCTCGCTGGTTGCGCCTACTCATCGGCAGGGCAAGCGGCCTTGGCGCTCCACTCAATGGCCGTGCTCCAGGTCTTGAGCTGAGGAGACCTTTCACAAAGCCCTTCTCCTCAGCCATTTAAAATGCCTGGAGCTCAGGGTGAACTTTGCCAAGAGCGCACTGTTTCCCAGCCAGCGAGTCTCGTTCCTGGGAACAGTATTCGACTCGGCTCAAATGAAAGTGAAGGTCACAACAGAGCATGCCCTGAGCATACGGCGGCTCGCGGCCTCCTTCAAGGCTGGTGCCTCTGACCCCCTCAAGAGGTTTCAGAAAATGCTAGGCCTCATGGCTGCAGCATCTCCAGTGCTACAGTTGGGCCTGCTACGAAGACCTGGAGGTTGGGCCCACAACTGGCCCAACCTCCTTCTGTACGCTTTTCCCCAGTTGCCCTGATTCCACAGGTAATCAGGCAGATCAGGGAACAGAAAACGCAAAGTGCTCCTGGTGGCCCCGCTCTGGAGAAACCAGCATTGGTTGGCAGAGCTGTCGCAGCTGCTAATAGCAGCCCCGTGGCCTATTCCCCTGAGGCGAGATCTCCTCTCCCAGGCGAACAGGACGATATGGCACCCCAGGCCACAGCTGTGGGCCTTGCACCTGTGGCCACTCGACGGGAGCCTGTTAGTCTCCCAAAGTGTGTATTGAACACCATTTCTCAGGCTAGAGCTCCGACGACAAGACGCCTCTACGCCCTTAAATGGTCAGTGTTCTCTGCCTGGTGCTCAAACCAGGAGCTGTTGGATAAGGGACGCTCCCCGTCCACGCTCAAGGTCTATGTGGCAGCAATAACGGCTTCTCATGCCCCTATAGCGGCCCAATCGGTCGGCAGGAACAACCTTGTTCATTTTCTGAGGGGAGCCAGGAGGCTAAATCCGCCCTGACCTCTCACTGTTCCTACGTGGGACCTGCCCACTGTTCTGAGGGCCCTGAAGGGTCCTCCCTTCGAGCCGCTGCAGTCCGTCGACCTTCGGTCCCTGTCGTTTAAAACCGCTCTGCTACTAGAGTTAGCATCGGTCAAGCGAGTGTGGGACTTGCAGGCACTCTCTGTAAGCCCTAATTGCCTGAAGTTCGGGCCTGGCGACTCCAAGGTCATCCTGAAACCAAGGCATGGTTATATACATAAGGTGCTCTTGACTCCATTCAGAGCACAGGTTATCAACCTCTCTGCGCTTCCTTCCTCAGAAGAGGACCAGGAGTTGAATTTACTCTGCCCCGTTAGGGCTCTGAAAGTTTACATCGAGCGTTCCGCCCAGTTTAGGCAGTCGGAACAACTCTTTGTTTGCTTCGGCGGCTGTGCTAAAGGACACCCGGTCACGAAGCAGAGACTTTCTAAGTGGATAATTGGTGCTATTCTTCTAGCCTACTCTTCCTTGGGCCTACAATGACCCATTGGAGTACGAGCTCACTCAACTAGAGGCATCGTCTCTTCGTGGGCGTGGTCTGGCGGCGTGGCCATTGCAGAAATTTGTGCGGCGGCCGGCTGGGCCTCGCCGTCCACTTTTGCTAGGTTCTATAACCTGGATGTCCCTGCCTTGCAGGCAAGGGTTCTTTCTGCTTAACTGGCGCGCAGTTCGCTCTGAGTGCAGTTTGGATGTAATATGCCCAGACCTATCAGAGAGTTTACTTGTGCTCTCTCGGACCCCATAGGTGCTGGGGCTGCGCAAGTCTTCTGGAACGATCACTCGGTCGGGTGAGGCCTTCGTGAGGCTTAGCCCGTTAGCCTGGAGGGATTTTTTTTTCTTGTTCCCTTGGGCCCTGAGGTGCCTAGGACAAGGATTACCATTGTCGTTCCTCTGCCACGGCACGGCGTGATTGTACTGTTCCCATAGCGTCTAGCAAGACGCAGTACGAGTGAAGTATCGATAGGGAATGTACTCGGTTACAAACGTAACCTCGGTTCCCTGAGATTCGGGTGTGAGTACTGCGTTGCTAACCGTGCCATGCAGCTGCACGACTCCGTCTTCACTTCAGTCGAAGTAACCTGAAACTTATGGTGAAGCAGCCGCTTATATAGCCAGATGACTCCGCCCATTCTGGCGGGCTTCGCTGCCATAGGTTTGTGCAGCACCGCTGCCAAGCCATTGGTTCGTTTTTAAAACATACTGCACGAACCACTGGCCGTGCAGTTTCACTGCGTGATTGAAAAAGGCTTCAGTTCAGGAGAAAAATGACATTTTTTTCCATAGCGTCTAGCAAGATGCAGTACTCGTTCCCGTATCTCAGGGAACCGAGGTTACATTTGTAACCGAGTACATTTCTCCGTCCTGTTCACGTGTGTTTTTGTTCGGGAGGTTTTGTACTCGTTCAGAAGATGCGTAATAGCGCCCCCCAAGTGTATAATAGTGAAAACACGAAAAGCCGTAAAAACTCGTCTTTGGCGGGGAAGCGTTTTCTTGTAAAAGACGAGATAACTCGTCAATGGCGGGGAAAGAGTTAATATTATTGTGGAAACTTTTTTCAGGATTCATTGATGAATAGAAAGTTCAGAAGAACAGCATTTATTTAAAAAAATAACTCTTTTGTAACATTATAAATATCTTTACTGTCACTTTTGACAGTTTAATGCATCCTAACTAAAAATATTAATAAAAAACATACTAAATATAGGAGTTTGAAAACTCCTGGTCTATGCAAACTATGCATATACATGCAATTGCTTAGACGTCAAAGGTCAGATATCTTGGTCCTGCTCCTGTTCTGTTCACAGCGTTCAACTAAAGGTGTCCTCATATGTGCACTGTAAAAAAAAAAACTGTTGTTTTTACAGGAAAACGCTGGCAGCTGTGGTTACCAGAGAATTCCTGTAAAAAATAAAGCAGCACAGTAGATGAACTGGCAAATTACAGACCCACACTGTAAAAAAATTTCCGTAAAATTTACGGTAAAAAACTGGCAGCTGTGGTTAATTTACAGTTAAATACCGTAATTTCATTAACTGATATAATGTTAATATACCAACTTATTGAAGTACTGAAATCTGTTTTGTACCTTTGTAATACACTGATAACCACCAAATGCAGGTGGTGATGAGAAAGTCACATGATGAACCAAAGCCCATCACAAGCAGCTTTTAAATAATAACATATATAGAAGGTGCACAGCGTCATTCACACAAACACTAAACACCATCATGGTAACACACATGAAACTGAAATAATGCAACAAACATTCAGTTAAATACCGTAATTTAATTAACTGATATAATGTTAATATACCAACCTATTGAAGTACTGAAATCTGTTTTGTAGCTTTGTAATACACTGATAACCACCAAATGCAGGTGGTGATGAGAAAGTCACATGATGAACCAAAGCCCATCACAAGCAGCTTTTAGATAATAACATATATAGAAGGTGCACAGTGTCATTCACACAAACACCAAACACCATAATGGTAACACATGAATCTGAAATAATGCAATAAACATTCATTTAACAACATTAGGTGTAACACACAACCCTAATATACAAAACTGATAAGAAAAAACTATAGAGGAAACATAGTTATTTCAACAAAACAACATCAAATTTGAAATGTAATGCAGGGAATTCTGGGAATGTCAATTTACGGTTATTCACTTTAAATTATACAGTATTTTTCACTTCCAAAAACGGTATACTACCGTAAAATTTATGTCCAATACATGTAATGTCCAATACAGTTTTTCACCGTATATAGTAGGGGAATTTACCGTTAACCATTTAACAGGTTTTTACTGTAGCATTTTTACAGTCTTTTACCATTAAATTCACGGTCATTTTTTACAGTGTGAAGCGGGTTAATCCCAAAGTCACTGAGCGTGTCCTTGACTTCCTGATGAAGGACTGTGCTCTGTTCCTCCCACTGCAGCTGCGTCTCAGCCAGGTGAGAGAGCAAACTGTCCAGACAGCCCTGTATCAGGCCAATAAACACCAATTAACGTACTCAATTTAAGATGAAAAGTAGCTTCTTAAATGGGGCATGTCTCGCCATCTGGCACAAGCATTTAGAGGTTCAGATGGTCTCTACTATGATAAAATACTAAATGCTGAAATGAATAACCTTGTGGATGGCAATTAGATTTGTTAACACTTTAATTAACAGTCAGTTCATTTTGTTTAACTATAGCATTAATTATACCTCATTTCGTTGAGGTAGATTAGTCTGTCATGCTTTGAAATGTCACCAAGCAATTTAAGCGAAGCCTTGTGTAATGCTGATATAATATGTCATCCATTCAAGCATCTAATATATATTTTGACACAGCGCTGATATTTCACTTAATCACTTATAGAGCTGTGATTCTGACTTACGTGCAAGATCTTCTCACACTCTCTCTCCATACTGTCCAGTTTGCTTTGGAGGTCAGAAATGATGGCGTCTTTTTCTGCTTCTGTCTTCTCTCGCTGCTCTCTTTCCGAATTTAATTTAACCTGACATTCGGCTAATCAAACAGAGGCCTTGTTTGTCATCAGCATGTCATTGGAGAGCATGTGTATGGTTAAAGCACACTCTGCCTATGATAAGCACAAGAATTTGAATGTGTTTATGCCTGGACTTACCAAGCTGCATCTCAAGCAAGTCTACACTCACTTCAAGCCTGTTTGCTTTGGTCTGCAGGTCTGTTTCCACGGACTTATATTGACGGTTGAGATCTGGAATCAAGTTTGAGTAAAATACAATACATATTGTGTTAGAAATCAATTATATAACTTTTTACTAAAACATACATTTACATAGGTCATTAAGAGGTAACATTTTTTTATATAATGACATTTATACTGTTATGTTAAAATCTATAAAATATTTCTATTTCAAATTAAAACTGTTCTTTAGATCTTTCTATTTATCAAAGAATCCTGAAAATGGTTTACACAAAAATATTAAGCTATTTTCAACATTGATAATAATATGAAATGTTTCTTGAACAACAAATCAGCATATTAGAATGATTTTTGAAGAAACTAACTTTTATTCAGCAAGAATGCATTATATTGATCAAAATTAAAGATATTTATAGTGTTACAAAATATTTCAATTTCAAATAAATGTTCTCTTGAACTTTCTCAAATAAAAAAAATCTTTAAAAAAAAATCTGCATAATTAATCTCTTTAACCCGGAGGGCGGCGAAAGTACAATATACAAGCGCTACTTCTGCCAATGCTTTGCTCATCAATATTAACTAGCCTACTTTATACGTTGCTTGGTAACCTTCCTAGTGCTCCGGTTACGTGCCCTATTTAACATTCATTAGTCATGCTTTTCTCCATAGTGGGATTCGTGTGGGATGATGCACGCACAATTATCCATGTACTGCATACATTTTATACATGTATCTTACTAACCACAAACAAATGCCTTTCAATTTGAGTCTGTGGAATTCAGCATTAAATGATCTGTTCTGTTCTGCATTAATATATCATAAATTGCTCAAGCAAAAAGGAATCCGTGCATTTGTGGATCAGGCGACACGCGTGCATTCATTCGCGTCTCTTCTGAGTCGATTCTATTTGATTCATTTGAATTTTGAGACTTTCGTTCCGCCCTTTTAGCCTTGCGCAATCCACACACACACAGCTCGCGATCCAGGCGCAGCTGAGCCACAGAAAAGCAGCCACCACTAGATGGCACTAGCCCCACTCACATGTGCACATTCCATTGAGTACGGTTTCATGAATGTTACATCGAGTTTCTTTTTGGTTTGGCTATTCTCCTCTACCGTAGAAATATAATAAAGATGTTTTATTGAACTTGTTCTAACTTAACTTGTCTTAAGACACAGAATAGCTTATATTAATTTTGCCAA